CTAGTAACTTATGTAAGAAAAGTCTTTAATTTCAGTCTTTCATTATATTGTCGGAGACCATCTTTAGACAAACATAAATTGTATTCAGTCGCTCAAGTCTAAAAGCTTAGCCATCCATGTAATTACATAATTAACGTGAAAGTTTATTGTATTCAACTGTAGTTTTTGTCCGATTGAAAATACATATATTTTGGTACTCAAATTTTTCGTATAAACGTCAAAATAAGAGATCCATTGGTAAATATTTGAAATTTAGATTATACTTATAACTCAATGGAAGCAATTATGTTTAAAACACTTTCTAAACTACATTATATCCATGTGTTCTAGATACTATTTGTTGAAAAATCCTACTACAAATACAAATACTTGATATGGATCCTTGAAGATATTATTCATGTATCTACTTCAATACTTTCATTAGAAATATTTTAACAGATAAAGTAATAGAAGAAACAGAAGAATTTCCTTTCCAACTAATCAAGGGCAATCATAACTGAGTGATTACATTGTTCAACATGTATCCGTAAGGTACTGTGTTCAAACCTGACTCCTACCACTTCCATGACATGACCCTGGATAAGTCACTAATGACTTTTTCTCTCGTACTACTTGTCCGCTAGCATACTGACAATGTTGTGATATTTGCCTCCTTCTATGGCTTGTATATGGTTAGTTAGTGTGTGTGAGAAGCTCAAGCAATGTAGAACAAAAACTATACGTCAGTCTTGCCTTCTGTTTGGAATTATAGGTAGTATTAATTCTAGCGAAGACATTAGACTACTGAATGTGCTATGAGGCAGCACTTCATACCTTACAGTAGCTGAAGGGCAGGGATATTTTGTCTTCCTTTCAAATCATCAAGTTCCGTAGAATTCCTATTGCCTATTAGTAACAGATTCTTCTTCACTCAATGCATTCATTAGAAAATAGAGTGGACTATTATTGAGTTAGATGTTAAGAAAAATCAATTGTGATACTCTAAAAGAATGTACTGCAAAGGAACTGAAGTGCATTAACTTTTTTCAAGTTTTAGAACATTATTTTCTTGTTTTTTTTTTTTTTTTTATCTTGAGAGAATCTTAGAGAATTCAACTTATTTATTTGCATGATATATTAATTGATTCCTAGAGTATTCATATATCGAAGGAATCATAAATATATAAATTTAAATGATAAATAAAACTAGAATAGAAATATAAAATATTTTCATACCTTTGATCAAGATAATCCAATAATGATTTCGTCACAATCATAGCTTCAGCACCTTTTTGTTGTCCACTATTATTTCCCAGACCAATTTGATTACCTTTAATTTGTTGTAATTGTTTATAAACTTCTTCAATTGATTGTCTTATTGTTGGTTCAATACTTTTAACAAACATAGCACTTAATTCATCAAGTACATCACTTAATTGTTTTTGTAATTCAGTAAGTCGAAATTTTGTTTCATCATCTAATTGTGCCCCACCCATTATTTCATATAATTGTTCTAAATTTAATCGTAATTGTTGAATATTATTCATTAATATAGAACAAACATGATCTTCTCCACCAACATGTTCAAATGTTCGACGTATTGCATTTGCATAAGCAAGTAACACTTTTGATATAGTTATAGAAAAACGTTGCATATATGAAGCTATAACAATTGGATCATGAAGATCAAGACTTTTTATTATTCCATGACATTGATTTAATTGTGTAAATACATCAACAACTGATGATGAAAATAAACAATGTTCTGATGTTTGTTGAAACTAAATAAGAAAAATAAAAATTTTTCTTTAAAACAAATTCAAATATTAAACTTACTCCTGTTTGTCGATCTTTTTCAAGTGCATTATGAAGATATTCCATTGACATATCATCATTTTCATTAAGCCATTGCATTACAAATGGTTCGAACCATCTTAAAAAAGAGAAAAAATTTATTGAAAAAACAAAACAATAAAATAAAATAAAAATAAAATATTTTCGAAATCTTCATGCTAAACATGCGTAGCCAAATAAAATTAATCAATCAATTTATTACCGTTTAAATTCTTTAGGCGTGTAGAAACTGTAGATGAGTATTTAGTATTTTTTTTTTGTTTTTTTTTAAATAGATTTCTAATGAAGAAAAACAAATGAAAAAATAACTTACTTAGGATATTCAGGAACAATATTTTTTGCTTCGGGAATTATTTTAACTGATGTATCATAAAATTTTTTGACCATAAAATGTAGATTCATATAATCAGCACTTTTTATTTCACGACGTTCAGTTGGAACTCGAGCATGTTCTTAAAATAAACAGAAAAAATAAAATATTTTTAATTGTTGATAATTACATATAAGAAAAAAAAAAAAAAAAAAAAAGAAACAATTTCTTTTCTATTTTCGTATCTATGGTGTAACTTTAACAAAATGATATATAAGCCAAACAGAGTGCGGGTGTAGAGTTCAGGACTGGATCTGTATTCTATCTCGAACTACACTAGGTGATGGTTCATTCGGATCAATAGATCTTATATCATCTCACAATGAATTAAGACAAGATTAACGGACAATGTTGAATGTAGCTATATGATTTATAGAGCACATTTTGAATATGTCAACAACAACTAATCTAATTGATCAACTATAACATTATTTTATTGAATATGACAATAGTTGATAAAAGCTGTTACGTAAACATAGCTAGGCAAGTATCCAAACTCAATAACAAAATTTGAACATTTAAAACTTATATAATTGATTATGGATTATATCAATAAATTGTTGTGTAGAGCTCGTCGGATTCAAAATTTTTTTGGAGTTAGACCCACTCGAACCATACTTTGATACTCTCAATGAAATTTATTAATTAGAATTGAATAATCGTCTTGAAGATACGAAATGCTTTTTTTCCGACTTTTGATATTCGATGACTAACGTACCATATGGATTTCTCAGATGACTAGAGCCCAAACATGTCCGAGATCAGTCTGATACACTTTACTATCATCTCGCAAACATAAAACGGTTTGTATCTTTGACAACTAAACGGAGAATAATCGAATAAATCGTTTGGTTTAATAAGACACTGAAAAGAAGCTGAAAAAGAATCGAAAGTCAATGAGTTTGGATTTTTATTGATTCTAGCAGTTCGTCTAATCATGTTTTTTAACATTCTCTCGTATCGTTCTCCTACTTCAATTTTCTATCGACAAAAAAAAAATTGTTTAATGTAGTACAGTAGATAAGAGCTTTTCCTTGTCTTCATTTTTGGCAAAAACGACGCGAAAAGTTTAAATGGATGTCTAGTCATAATCATCTTTGTTCAATTTTGCTTGATTCATTAATTCTCTTCTAGACATAGTTGTATTTTGTCTGTTAGTTATAATAAATGTCTAGATAGATTCAATAACTATTTCATGTGATTTATCGAACAAAACTCTTTCATTTAATAAATAAAATAAAATAATTTCTTGATTAATAACTAATAATGTTTTCAAGAGAGAGAATCATATATCACTGACATTTTATATAAATAGATGGGTATATTTATCTTTTCTAAAAATATTAATAAAATTACCTTCTAAGTGTTCTTTAAGATCAGCTGAGAATAATTTCCATAAAGTATCGGCACTAATATGACCAACATTTACTTCCGATGGAAATCTAAATAAAAAAACCATATTTAATTATTATTATATTAATTAATAAATAAATAAAATAAAAACTTACTGATTTAAAACTAAACTATATCTTTCTCGATCTTCAGAAATAATACGTGTTAATAAATACATAAAATGATTCCAAAATTGTAAACTTTTAAGGCTTGGTCCAATAACATTTGTTGTTGTTTCTTGTGTTCCATCATCTTCATTTTGTTCATTATTATTTTCATTTGTATTCATTTGTTGTTTTGATTCTCGTTTATAAAGTTCATCACAATTAGCAACTAAGAAATCATATGTATGACGAATACAATTTTTAACACAATCTTTAACAACACTCGATGCACGAGGTGGAGAACTTAATTCTTGAACCTAAAATTATTTAAGAAATTAAATTAAAATCTAATCAATATTTAATTTACTAAATAGTTTAATATTTATGCAAAAAAAAAAATAAATAAATAAATAAAATGAATCAATCTAGGCGAAAAAAAGAAAAATCAAACCATGCTCAAACTTACTTGATTATTAAATGACATTCGAAAAGGAAAACCTATTCCATACTAAGAAATATTTCAAATATTTTAGACTTTTCTTTTTCCTTTGTTTGTTTATTATTTTTTCTAAGTTAAATTATTTTA